AAGATTCATAAGAAACAATCATTACTAAAGTCACTTCCTTAAGGGTTCTTCTAAGACATCAAAACTGTGTAGCTAATTCCTCACATAATATTATCTTGCTCCAGCTTATCTGGTGCAGTATAAGGTATTAATTGAGAGACAACATCACAACTGCATTCAGTTATAGCTACGTTTCCAGTCGGGCAGGTTGGATAAAACGCACGATCCTTATAAAAGAACTTTACATTGCAATCAGGGTTCAGACTGAACCGACCTCTAATTCGATGTTGAGCAGGCACTGAAACACTGGCTATATTCTCAATTAAGAGCTTCATTAAGGGTCTTCATGCTCATATTCCTTTTAGCTAAAAAAAATTATATATATACGACTCTTGAGATATTCAACCTAGTGATGCAGAACACGACAACGAATGTCACCGGTATGCCTAAAGCTACATACACAACTTTACCAATAGACCATCGAGTTAAATTTGCAATGGGAATAATCTATTTAGCAGTAAGTATCTATGCTGTTTTGGCTAACTTCTTGTTACTGCATTTCAAGGAGAAACAAGAATATGAAAAAAGAAGCAAGCCCAAGAGAGCATTCAGTAGAAACATCAACGACATCTTCATCCGTAGCCTCGCATGGTCAGATATTTTGTGTGGTGTAATCACTTTCCCGGTCGTCGTTTTAACATTTTTTGCCCACGTTTTACGATACGATTGGATTTGTAAATCCGTCAGATACGTGAACTTTGTCTTCCCTGTTATAACGGCAATGAATCTTTTCGTTATCGGTATGGAGAGATATATTGGCATATTTCATCCCTTCATTGCGCCATCTAAACATAGTGTCAAGCGGTTAGTCATTGGAACATGGATTTTAGGAGTTTTAGTTTCATTCTTTCCTTCTGAAGTATTATTTGGTGCCAACAAACACAATATCGGACCTAACAGCTATACTATAACATGTGTGATAGACACAAACTTGACTCATATCCGTGTAATGGCTATCTGTTATGCTTCCATTCAGTACGTTATCYCAAGCATCATATTGACTATCACGAACATAAAGATCCTTAAATTCCTACGAAGACGCCGAAGACAAATTCAGCAAACGAAGGAACGAGCCAGCAAAACACCTTTCACTGGAACAAATACTTTCGTAATGCTGATCTTTTCTTGCATCCTTCCTTACTTGATCTGCGCTTTGAATGCTGGTTTGAAAGGAATTTTTCAGCCSAAGTTGAGCTACACTATGGACTACATTATCAGGCACCTTTGCGGGTTTCTTGCCTACTCTAATTCCGCTGTCAGTCCGACTKTAATGTTTTACAGTATGCCTGATCTGAGGAGAATGATAAGGGAGTGTTTCGGGGGCACGTGTCGACGTCCGAAAATCCCACRAAGGTATGTCGATTCATCAGCCAGTTCAGTSGGAATTCAAGAGAAAGCTCCGAGTGTTCCAGACTCTAACCAACCTAAAACTTCATATAAAATAAGTCCYAAGACGGAACAAAGAAAACATTTGACTCCACATAATCGCGATAATCAGGAAGAAGAAGAATTAGAAGATTCATCAGCCGCTTCAGTTTGGAATTCAAGCGAAAGCTCCGAATAATTCAAGTGTTCCAGACTCTAACCAACCTCGAGTTTCAAATGAAAAAAGTCCCAAGACGGAATAAAGWATAAATTTGACTCCACAAAATTAGAAGAACTTACTGAAGATTCATCAGCCAGTACAGCCGGAATTCAAGCAAAAGCTTTGAAGGATTTAAGTGTTCCAGACTCTAACAAACCTCGCGAGCTTTAAATGAAAGAAGACCCGTAGAAGAAGAGAGAATAAATTTGATTCCACACAATCGCAAGAAGAAGACTCTTGACAACAAAATGATGATAATAAGACTTAAAAAACCGTGTTTTGTTCGCATCTGCATTGCTATTGGCTCCAATTCGACCTCTCCGAGACTCAGAGTCACGAKCAAAGCAAGTGAAAAAATTGAGGGTCGAAATCACGCGGAGGTCGATATTCCCGCGAGYGAATGTGATTCYTGTTTCTTGTTGGGCTGCAATGATATGCAAGAGTAGATCTAAAGTAAACTGCAATTGACCTTTTCGGCTTGGGGTAGTGTTTTCACATTTCAGACCACCTGTCATTCAATTCCCTTGAGAATAATATTCTTTGTTTGAGTTGTATCCATATTCATGTGTCTTCCCATGTGCAACCGAGCGCAAACCTTAAACAAAGAAATGATACTCTAGGGAATGACATGTGGTCTGAAATTGGAAAACATTACTTCAGAGACGAAGAGGTCTATTAGTGCTTTACTACTGAATGGAGCACGCAAAAAGCTTTTTTATTCGCTTTATCATACAGCTACTTTTTTTTGTTTTTGTTTTTTTTGTTTTTTTTATATATATATAATTTTGTTGGTATTAAATTTATTTACGCAAAAAATAAGAGGGTTGCAGGATCTAGCAGCATGGTGCTCCATTTACCAATAAACCACAGTTTTCGACCAATCAGCGCACGCGTACTTTCCTAACTATATAATAATTWGTTGAATTATGCGACGAGGAGCAAGAGCATTTGTGAGATACTAGGGATCTATGTCCAGGTAACTTGTAGGTAAAGTTTGATCTGCATGAACTGATTACTAATGGCACCGCGGAAAATTCTTATCTACAAAGTATATGGTTTCGCTAATGGAACACCTGGAAATGAATTTCCTGGTAATCAAGTAACGAAATTGATGTNTTCTCTGAAAATTATATTTGATGTACTTGCCAGTATAAGTAGAACCGTCTATCAATTAAATCAGCATCTGATGACAGATGTTCTTGGTGGAGATATTACACAGTGGGGGAGGGGCTACATCGGTTCAGTCTAGATCGAGGCGATAGCATTTGAGTGTATACTTTGAATTTCAAAGTAGCAGATTCCGGATACCAAAATGGTGGATTCCGTATTCCATTATAAACTGGATTCCGGATTCCAAGGCCTGGATTCCGGATTCCAAACCTATAACATGTCGTGGATTCCGGATTCCGGATTCCGGATTCCCTTACATGGAGCGAAATGTTTCATGCAGTCGGCTCACAAATAAATATCATATTTATACATTGTACTCACTATGCAGTCATTTCTGATCGGCTAAGAGCCTTCAACTATTCCCTGAAGATAAATGGACGAGGCCGAGCAAAATATCTTGATTTTTTAGTGGCGGGAGAGCAATTATTTGCAGATGCCGAAGGCAGAGACAAATAATTGCTTGCGAGGAGAAACACGAGCCTTCTCACACTTCTGATCTTGAGTGTTTACCGCGCTTCCTAAGTGCTTTATTACTGAATGGAGAACGGAAAAAGCTGTTTTATTCGTCTAATCATATAGCTACTATTTTTTCCCCCGGTATTGAATCTATATACGCAAAAAGAAAGACGGTTGCACTGTGCTCCATTCACCAATAAATCACAGTTTTCGACCAATCAGCGCGCGCGTACTTTCCTAACTATATAATTATTTGTTGAATTATGCGACGAGGAGGAAGAACATTTGTGAGATACTGGATATCTTTGTCCAGGTAACTTGTAGGTAAGTTTTGATCTGCATGAACTGATTTACTCATGGAACGGAAAATCCTTATCTACAAAGTAGATGGTTTCGCTAATGAAACACCTGGAAATTAATTTCCTGGTAATGAAGTAACGAAATTGATGTACATGTAAAAATAATATCAAGCAGGGAATTAAAAGAGCTGTGTTTCAACTGATTTCAAACAAAGGAAAGTGAGAAAAAAACGAAGTGAAGCCGAGTTTTTTTTTAAGCCAGTTTCGATGTGTTCAGTGGATAGAGGATGAAGAACTCTTTCAAGGGCTTGATATGGCTTCTCAAGCTATTAGTAATTCTTGGAGAACTTCAAAGCATAAGTTCCAAAATTTTAAGCTAATTCAGATAACATTTTCAAACCTCCTTTACTAATGCTAGTACTGATTTTCTTTGTTTGTGCTCATGAATAGTATTATAGAGTTTGAGAAAGATATTGGTCATGATAATTTGTTACACAACTACTGTAGAATCACATCA